AAAATCATTCAAAACAAATTAGAATTTTTTAATGAATCCTTTTTAAGATATGATGAAATAAATATTTCTTTTACTTTTCAATCTTTTCAACAACTTTTTTCAATCTTCATAATACACTGAGGAAATCGGTAGTACATTTTTCCCGCTTGCAATCATTTTCATTTTCATTCATACTATTTTTTGTATATTGCATGAAAATCTCATTCTTATTGATTATTTCATAATCAATAGAAAAGTTTTTAGATATGCAAAAATTTTTATATTAAAAATTAAATTTTGAATGGAGAATTTTTACATTTTATCCAATAAGTGTAACTTTTTTTTTTCGCATTAGTAGGATAGCGTAATCGATGTTAAAATGAGATAAATTTTATGTAAATTCGTTATATTACTTTAATTTTGCATTTGGCAAATAATGTAAAATTCAGTTTGAGCAATAAAATATGAATGATATATGGTAAGAATTAAAACAATTACTATATTTTTAAGTATCAAAATGAATGTAAATCATGTATAGTATGAAAAGTAAATCAATAAATTAATATATATCATCCATTAGTACTAATATTTGTTGAATATTTTACTCAAAAATGATAAGAAAATTAATCAAATACATCGTCAATAGAATCATCGTTCAATTTTCCACAATGTTTGCATACTTTCTTAATACTTTCTTGTTCTGCCGTAGGTTCATCATATGTTTCTGTTTCTTCTTCATGATATGTCCATTCAATTGGTGGTGATAATTGCATCGTAAAGGTTGGATCTTTTGCAAACGTCATTTCTTAAAATTTTTTTTTTTGTTAACTTTCAAAAAATTTCGATTATTCTATCAGGTTTATTTACAACAAATTTTTCACTTGAAAAATTCGAAAAATGTTCCATTCTATTTTGGAATTTTTTTGTAAACACAGTCTGTTTTGCAGAATTTTTCTGAACGATTCGATATATCTTATCAAATTTAGCTCTTGTTTTTTTACAAAATTCAATCAAATATGTTTTTGTAAACATGAAAGCAAACATTAGATAAATACTATCAATGTGTATTTAAGAAAAAAAAAATGAAATCTTAAGTGAAACAAATGAAATTATTGTTTAGTTTATTCTATCCAACCAATAATTACCTAAGCATTTGTTTATGGCCGTGTCTAGCACAAGGTAATTCAATGAATGAAAGATGCAATGCACAAGTAATCCAATGATTTCTCTTGGAGATTCCAGAAGAATT